TGGATATAAATTAAAGGTTAGCAGTTTCCAGTTAAGGTGGCTACTTACGCATCTCTAAAAAGATAACAAAAGGAACACAGATTTTTGTGTCCCGTCCCCCCTCCTGTCATTTCTTATAGTGTGGGAACAGAAAAACACTGACCTCCCATCTGCTTGGGGATCTGGCAGAATGGATCTTTTCTTCCTTTTGCTCCTGATGTCCTTCCATGAGAGTTGGGTGTGGGGTTGGGGACTGATCAGTTTGTGCTCCTATTTGCTGCAGATATTGTGGCGTTTTTAAAGATAAGCCAGTTCCTGAATTTAGAAGAGTGTGTACATGATTTGAAAATAATTCTCTGTACTTACAGAATCCATCTCCCCTAGAGCACCTCTCCTTAAAACTGAAGTGGGAATCTGTGGCTCTACTCGTTTGATATTAAGGCTCCGGATTTCTCCAAGCAGAAGTGGCATCAACCCAGAAAAGTGTCTGCTAAAGATAAACTCACAAAGTTCATTTGGGGGAAAATCCAGGTACTTTAAATTCCATGTATGTAGACGCCATCCAGTGTGGCCTGCTTAAATCTGGGACAATCTTGCACAATGTGAAATAAAGCAAGGGATCTATCAGTTCATCTTTTTGCAATCTGAGCGGAAAGTCCTATTTGTTTTCAATGGATTGCACACATATCCAGCAATTATCTTGATAAGGTGACAGTAGCGGAGCCCGTCTCAGTCAGAAACCTATAACCTGCCTACAAGTATATCTTTTGCCATAGCTCTATGTTAAAGCTCTGTGGTACATTCTTGTGTGGACAGCCACAAGTGGAATTAAAACACTGGAGAAAGTGGACCTGAGTTACCCAAAATGGATGGGCAACTCTGTCAATTTCTTTTCTCCAAGTTTCTAATTTTGACAATCTTAAACCCAGTTCTCCACATTTTTGCAACCATTTTCCTTTCTTGAAGAAAAAAAAAAGAATCCTCAAGAAAATTAGTCAGCATTGTAGAGTAAATTTCTCCTAATATATTTCCGTATGCAGTTTTGACGTGTATGCACGTTTTTGCAAGCAAATCCTCCCCTAATATAATGCTTTTAAATGCAGTTTTGACTGTTTATGCATTCTAGTATACACATTTTTGTATCCATTACTTAGCTGGAGAACTACATTGCAAAGGTCAGGGATGTGTAGACTTTGGAGGATGGCTGTTTTTCAGCTTGTGTATTGTTCTGATTTGAAATGTGCATATCTGGCAAGTTCGCCTTTAAATGTGAACTGAATCAAATATTGCCCCCATCTCTTCCACAGAGGCCCTTGCCTCATCCCCATTACTGTGAAGCCTGGCTCACTCATGCTCTGTGTGATGCTAACCTATGGTGCTCCCAATATTTTGGCCTTTTTATAATGTTATTTTTCAGAACCATTTTGTGATAAATATTTTTTTTTTAAAAAAAATATAAATTGTGATGGTCATTTTGCTAGGTTTTTTTAATGGTGTGAGCATTACACACTCAAGTTCTTACTGTTGATCACTGGGAGTTAGCAATTCACATAGTCAGCTAAAGCAGCACAAAATGAACTTAGGCGTACCAGAAGCTGCCTTCTACTGAACCATGCCATTGGTCCATCAAGCTTCGCATTGTCTACACTGACTTGCAGAAGCTCTTCATGGTTTCAGGCAAGGGTCTCCCTAGCCCTACCTGGAGATGCTGGTAATTGAACTTGTTACCTTCTGCATGCAAAGCATATGCTTTAAACCTAGAGCTACGGCCCATCTCCAACCAATGGCAAATACAAATCTGAATAGGCAGCTAGATTTGCTACTGTTTGGAACTGTAACAACCTTTTTAGAACAATTGCCAAGTCTAACATGAGCCATTTTCCTCTACCATTGCAAATTGTGGGCATTTGTATACTCAGGGTTACAGTACTAGATTACAGTCAGTAATTATTCATATATTTTTCCACATTGTTTTTCCTCCTCTTTGGGGGTTGTTGGATAAGAAATCACTTTCAAAATGTGTTGTCAGAAAACCGCCCTTAATGCAATAAAAATATTTCAAATATGTGCCCAGTGTCATTCAATATGTGTTGATCTGTGTTGGCTCATTCATTGCAATCTGTTTACGAAAGGAAGGGGCAAGAACATAGCAGAGCGGGTTGATGTTTCGAAAAGTGCTCTGTGGAATGCTAAATTGGTTTTGGAGGAGAAAGATGGCAAGAAACGCCGTGTAGCATTTCGATTCACAGGTGTGTGTGTGTAGAAAATTGTAAATTTGCAAACTCTTTATGTGGTTCTCTTTCTGAGCATTTGGAAGAGGGCTTCTCTCCTGTAAGCTTTGGTTTCAAATATGCACTCTCACTCAAGTGGGATAGTTTGTGAGTGTAAGTGAAAGGATGAGAGTTTGTGTCTGAATGCAGCAATATTCCCTCAGGGACCAAAGAAACCATCAGCAACACCTTGTGACAGATCATGGCATTAGGAAAACTGGAATTTTGTGGAAAGTGAAAAAAGATTGAGAACAAAACCAAAGTCTCAAGAGATTTTGAGAGAAATAAAGTTATATCAAGTGCAATATATGAAAATGATGAATCAGGAGATAGAATGGAAAATTAAACAAATGAGACAAAAGACATTCGAGTCGGCTAATAAATGTGGGAAATTGTTGGCTTGGCAAATGAAAAAAAGACAAAAATTAAATACAGTTATAAATTTAGAAGTGGAAGGAAGGAATATACAGAACCCAGCTGAGATTAGAAATTGTTTCCAGAGGTACTTTAAACAACTATACACACAAGGGCCACTGAAAGAAACTGATGTAGATCGATTTTTGAAAACAAATGGATTACAAAAAATCTCTCAAGAAAATAAATTAATGTTGAACTATAAAATAACTGAACAGGAGATAGAAGGTGCCATTCAAAACATGCAATTGGGTAAATCTCCAGGACCGGATGGACTGACTTCTAGATATTACAGATCTTTGAAAGAATGGCTAGTACAACCTTTGAAAGAGGTCTGTAATGAAATAATGGAGGGGAAAAGGGCACCAGAGTCGTGGAAAGAAGCTTATATCACACTTGTACCGAAAACAGAGACTGAAAAGACGCAGCTTAAGACCTACCGCCCCATATCATTACTTAATGCGGATTACAAAATTTTTGCAGACATTTTGGCAAAGAGACTGAAAAAAGTGTTGATGGAAGAGATTCATAAAGACCAAGCGGGCTTTCTCCCGGGAAGACACTTGTCTGACAATTTGAGGAATATAATTGATATTTTGGAAAAACTAGAAGTGAACATAAATACTAAAGCAGTTTTGATATTTGTGGATGCGGAGAAAGCTTTTGACAACATTTCTTGGAGTTTTATGAAGAAGAACTTACAGGGTATGTGGGTAGGCCAAGGCTTTGAAAACGGTATAAGTGCAATTTATTCAGAACAAAAGGCTAAACTAATTGTAAATAATGTGGTGACGGAAGAATTTAAGATAGAAAAAGGGACACGACAAGGTTGCCCAATTTCCCCAATGCTTTTTATATCGGTCCTGGAGGTTTTGCTGAACATGATTAGAAGGGACCAGTTGGTTAAAGGTATACAGGTCGGAGCCAAACAGTACAAATTGAGAGTATTTGCAGATGACTTAGTACTGACGTTACAGGAGCCAGAATCTAGTACCAAAAGGGTTTTAGAACTGATTCAAGAATTTGGTCAAGTTGCAGGGTTTAAATTGAATAAGTTAAAAACTAAAGTTTTAGAGAAAAATTTAACACCAATGGAGAGAGAGAGGTTTCAGAATGAGACAGGTTTAACAGTGGTTAAGAAAGTTAAATACCTGGGGATTAACATGACAGCAAAAAATGGGAATTTATTTAAAGACAACTATGAAAAATGTTGGGCTGAAGTGAAAAAAGATTTAGAAATTTGGTCAAATTTGAAGCTTTCGCTGCTGGGCCGTATTGCTGCGGTTAAAATGAATGTATTGCCTAGAATGTTGTTTTTGTTTCAAACATTGCAAATTGTGGACAAAATGGACTGTTTCAAGAGGTGGCAGAGAGATATTTCTAGATTTGTCTGGCAGGGCAAGAAGCCCAGAATAAAATTCAAAATATTAACAGATGCAAAGGAAAGAGGTGGATTTGCCCTGCCAGACCTCAAACTTTATTATGAATCAGCAGTTTTTGCTGGTTGAAAGAATGGCTGCTTCTTGAAAACACTGACATTTTGGATCTAGAAGGCTTTAACAATGTATTTGGATGGCATGCATATCTGTGGTATGATAAGGTCAAAGCACATAAAGCATTTAAAAACCATATTGCCAGGAAAGCACTGTTTAATGTCTGGATAAGATATAAGGATTTATTGGAAAATAAAACACCAAGGTGGCTGTCACCGATGGAAGCGAAAGCTCTGAAAAAGCTCAATATGGAGGTCAAATGGCCGAAATATTTGGAAATTTTGGAACAAGATGGAGATAGATTGAAACTGCAGAGTTTTGAAAAACTAAAAAACAAAGTGCGAGACTGGCTTCATTATTATCAGATGATGGAGGCATACAATTTGGACAAAAAAATTGGCTTCCAGGTGGAAAAATCAAAATTAGAAACAGAATTGTTAGAACCCAAAACCAAGATTTTGTCAAAGATGTATAACTTGCTGTTGAAATGGAATACTCAGGATGAAACGGTGAAATCTGCTATGATTAAATGGGCACAAGATGTTGGACATGACATAATGTTTGCTGACTGGGAACAGTTGTGGACCACAGGTATGAAATTCACGGCATGTAATGCCTTAAGAGAGAATATTATGAAAATGATATACAGGTGGTACATAACCCCAGTCAAGCTTGCAAAAATCTACCATTTGCCTGATAACAAATGTTGGAAATGTAAAGAAACTGAAGGTACATTCTTTCACCTTTGGTGGACGTGCCCAAGGATTAAGGTTTTCTGGGAGATGATTTATAATGAATTTAAAAAGGTATTTAAATATACCTTCTTGAAGAAACCAGAGGCCTTCCTCCTGGGCATAGTCGGCCAATCAGTGTTAAAGAAGGACAGAACTTTCTTTATGTATGCTACAACAGCAGCAAGAATACTTATTGCAAAGCATTGGAAGACACAAGATCTACCCACACTGGAGGAATGGCAGATGAAAATGATGGACTACATGGAATTGGCGGAAATGACTGGCAGAATCCGAGACCAGGGAGAAGAGTCGGTGGAAGAAGATTGGAAGAAATTTAAAGACTACTTACAGAAATATTGTAAAATTAATGAATGTTAGAATGATGTCGGATTGAAGTTAAGTGGTTTCTAGCTGTAATGGTATAAAGGAATATGGAAAAATTGGTTTTTAATACATAAAAATTTAATGTTATAATATATCAAGATTAAAGATCAGGATTAAAAAGGGGGGAAAGGAATTGCTGGACTAACATATTGAATTGGAATACAAAAGAGGGTGGTATGAGGAGGTCCGGGAAACAAGTAAATGTAAGAGAAGTGATGAAAAGATGGAATTGTTTTTAACTGTTTTTTCTTTTTTTTGTATTTTGTATTTTTCCTTTTTATTGTTAATTTTCTTATTAATGTAATCTTTTTTTTTTCTATTGAAATTTTAATAAATATCATAAAAAAAAAAGGAAAACTGGAATTTTGTGGTAGAATTGCTAACCTTCCTAAAACAACGTTTCTCCAACAGCTCTCCTTTTGGATGAAATGCTTATAGTTGCCGGAGTTATATGTTATTTGGAAACCAATAAAGATTCTATATAAATGAAAGATTTTCATAGTAAACAAAATAAGAAATTATGGCACTTTTACATTATTCTCAAGTGTTAATATGTATGTATTGGGGGGGACGGGACCACCTCTGCCTCACCGCTTCATTCACCTGCCTACTCACTGAAGAGCTTATTGCAACCATGGAGACTCCCTGGGCATTTTAGAAAATCAGGGCTATGGTGGGTAGGGGCAGAGCTCACTCCCTTACATGTTTAACTTCCTTAAAAGGATCACTTTAAGAGGGCCTATTATCACATCAATTACTAGTGTGTGAATCAACTTGAAGGACACATCTATTATTGTTGTTGTTGTTATCATTATTTCTTACCCACCCTTCATCATGAGCTTTGGCAGCAGGTTGCAACAGTATAAAGTGGTACCTCGGGTTACAGACGCTTCAGGTTACAGACTCCGCTAACCCAGAAATATTACCTCGGGTTAAGAACTTTGCTTCAGGATGAGAACAGAAATCGTGCTCCGGCGGCATGGCGGCAGCAGGAGGCCCCATTAGCTAAAGTGGTGCTTCAGGTTAAGAACAGTTTCAGGTTAAGAACGGACCTCTGGAACGAATTAAGTTCTTAACCCGAGGTACCACTGTAGATGGAAATCAGTTAAAACAATTTATAACTTACAGTAAGGTGGGTCTCACATGTCAAAAGACCAAGGCCAAAAAACTGCATCTTCAGCATATGATGAAAAATACACCTTGAAGGTGCCAGTCACACCCCTGCAGGAATGGAATTCCACAGCTAATGCCATGCAACAAGGCTTGACATTTTATATCACATACAGTGATCCCCGTTGTCTGATTGCAGGCCTTTACATATTCAAAATGGCATCATCCATGCACAAGAAGGGGAGACATTAACAGGCCTGGGATTGCAGAAATGCAGAAAACCTTAGGGGGGTAACCCTTGAAGGGGAAGGAGAGCCCACCCCCAACACCCCAATGTTAAGAATGTTAGGTGGACATAGAATGAAGACTGTCTTTTGGGGGTCAGCAGAAGAGACTCGAGCTTGTTTTAACTAATTTTGGCTCATGCTGATTACTATGACAGCTCTACCACAACCCCCTCCACATGGACAGCAGAGCCATCCCACTCCATGCAGTACATATTTCTTCTTGTTTTTGTGCTAAGGGAGACACTCATCCAGTAGCACAGTAAGATCCCATGTGGGCAGAGCAAGTGCTATTTCTTACACTATTTATTCTCAAAGCTGCCTGCCATTATATATTAGCCATGCACACCCAATAGAGAAATGACAGAGAGAAGTTTGAATTCCAGTGCTAGGTCATACGGAGATCAGAAGCAGAAATAAATATACATGTTAAATCTCTGTCTTGACTGGCTGCCACAGGAGTCATGAGAACCAAAATATTGAGAAGTTGTACCGAGCACTAACTAAAATATACCCCTTAACACATATTAAATGTTTCATTATACACGCTGCACTGAAACTGATTCCCAATGGAAAGGTCCCTTTCCTGCCTCCATTCCACACTTCCAGTTAGATTTGGGGGCACCTTTTTCTGGCTTGTGCTAGGGAAACTCATTTAATGCAAGGATGGAGAAATGATTAGCTCCAGAATTTGGGGTGTTTTTCGTGGGTGGTATGAAGGCCCTGAGAGCTGGACCTCAGTGTCCAGGCTGAACAATGGGGGTGGAGATGCTCCTTCAGGTATACTGGGCTGAGTCACAAAGATGGCCAGTGATGTTCCTGATGCCCTACCTCAACAGCAAGGAAACAGGAGGGCAGCAGCACTTAGCAGGGGTCAGGTGGAAGAACAGCTGCCCTGCTCCACAGATTGTCTCAACCACCATGTCTGTTGAATCCAGGGCTTAGTTAAGCCCACTGTTATATTTTGATGTAGTGTCAAACTGGGTATATTATCATTTTTATGATGTTTCCAGCATAATTGGGTAATAAGAAATTTCACTGCATCTTTGAATAATTTCGTATTACATAGATTCGTATTACATAGTCTGCAATTGTTCAAGACAGCATTGACAAAATTTCTTGTTATTTATTTTTGTCCTTGACTATCCTGGCCAGATTCCATTCTCAAAATTGTATTTACATCCAGAGATCAAATTGCTGATTCAGTAAGAACTAGCTTCTATGTTCACGCTGCATCATAGCATGCTGTCTTTCTGTATACATGTTCGGTCTTGTTAGATACACCTGCTCAATAGCTAATATGAAGCATCACCTTTTTTTGGCACTTAGATATTATTTATGAAAGTCACACTTTCCCCAAATAGTAGTATAATAGATGGCACTATATAAATTTGCCTCCTTTGGTACTGGCTGTGCTGCTGTGATGTCACAGAAGATTCACAAGCCACTGGTCATGACTGAATGGCTCACTCAAATGATCTTAAGAGATCAGTCAAGAGAAAGGTTGGATTGTCATAGTAAGAACTTCAGTTTCGTGACAGGACTGCCAGGGGATTTGGGGAGCAGGGAAGAGAGCCAAGTGTGTAAGTGAGGGAAATCAACACAGGACTTCAGGATCAGAGAGCTATGTGATACAGTGGACATGGAAGTCAGGGAGCCTGCAGACTGAAATTTGGGAGTCAAAGGAGGACAGGAGGAGGTTTGTGGTAGAGGTGGGCCAATGATTCAATGTCCTTTTCATGCACTTATCCATAAATCCAGTCTGTCTTATTTTAACATCAAATTTCAGTTTTTCAAAAAAGAATATGCATGAAAATTTACACCTCAGAATGTATTTTCATTCAAAATGCACATTTCAAAATGTATTGTTTATACATTTTCTAAGCTGAGAAGTGCAGAATATGCTAGATCACCCATCTCTATTATCACACAGGCTGGCCTGGGAATAGGGCAGGTAGAGAGCGGGACAGGTGGCAAAATTTGGTGGATTTGGTAGTGGGAAGGCAATCTGAACACTCATGACAGGCTGCACTGGTGAGACGCCCCTGACAACAGGCCATGGTGCAGAAACCCAAAAATCACAGGTTTCTAAACACACTTCTCCACCCAGTAACCAATGGGCATTATCACAGTTGAATGGCAGGTTCTATCCAGGCAAAACCTTTCAGGAAGCAACAGAGCAGAGACAGTGCCAGGTGAGTGGAGAGGTGTGTGTCCTGGGGAGAGTCTTGAGGGCCAAACAGAGAGACCTGGGGATCTAACTGCGTGTGAAGACCCCCAAGACCTCCCAAAGAAAGACACAGTTGACAGCAATATTAGTTTAAGGTTATTGGCATAATTTTGGCCACAACTTTATTGATTACAGAATGTGAGTGGTTTGCTTAGGCACTGGTTCGACTAGCTGCACCTACACCTCCAGCAGGGCAGCACTGACAATGGGACACCGGCAGAAGTCAGTAAGAGTAAACATACTAGGGGAGCATTGCTCCTGCCACAGACGCAACCTCACCCCAAAATGTTCCCAGATGCTCTGGTGTGGCCCTAACCCCTGGAAGGGGATAGGACAAAAGCATGGCAAGCACCTGGATTCCTTTAATGGAATACCCTATCTCACATTGGGAGGGGCAGGTATGACAACCTCCCCTCCACCACACCTTGAACGAATGCCTAACCATCAAACCTTACAAAGTTGTGACAATTTGCTACGCGGCAGGCGAAACCCAAGTGGCACCTGTTATGTACTGAGGTTCTCACCCTGGGCCAGCAGGGGGATACTGTAGATAGTTTTCACTCAGGTCCACATAAGGGATTGAAAGTGACGTTCAGTGATTGATAGTTAAAGAAAGTGGTTACTGTTGCGTTGTGGTGGAGCTCTATATAAGCAGACTGGTTGAACCCTTCAGTTCAGTTCAGTTCTGGCCTGTGAATAAACAAGAGCTGTTTGAAGAATCGCTGTGTCGTCTGATATGTTCACCCACAACTTAACAGCATCAACCAATCAGCCAAATGGGAAAATTCCTACCAGGCCCCTGTCCCCAAAACAGACGACCCACGACAGCATAGCAAGGTCATAATGAACTCTAAATATAGGGAGGGAGGGTGGGTGATCCGATGCATGAGGCGCTAAGAAGAAGCTTGACACAATGTGCAGCGATATTAATAGGTTCCCCGGCTGTAAATTCTCTCAACCCCATTGGCCAGAATTACCCCAGCAACCAAGGGACCCAACTGGGTTGTTGTGGCTATCTAAATGATCCCACCCACACAAATGGTGAGATCAGTCTTGGTAATCTCACAGCAACACATGCCCTCCATGATGTGGACCCAATTTGGCCCATGGGATCAAATTAGAAAGGGAAGTAGCAAGGATCCAGCCACTGAAAGCTACAGTTGAGAGAGACAGACACTTGCCTACACTTCACAACAAAGCCCCAGAACTTTCCCATAATCTCAGAAAGTGCTATTTCTCTAGACAAATAAATGCATTATGAAATGTTTATTTTTGAATTCTTTCAACTTAAATCTCTTGGTATTTTCTCCATGTTTGTGTCCTGCCAAAAGCTTTCCTTTGCTTTAGTTTTCCTTTCAGCCTTTTAAGACTC